CTCGCTAAGTAAGCCTTGCGCAGCAGCTGCTGCCAATCCAGATGTAGATGGTTGGCTCAGATTGTGGATTAGATCGTGGTCCTCAGGTGTTATATCCAGATCAAAAACACTTGTCTCACCATCTGTTTTTCTTCGACGAATCACGGGCGTCGTAGTGATGCCGGCATCGTCATTGTCAAACTTGAAGCTCAGAGGAGAGTAGGACCGATGACGTGCAACTTTCCTTCGTGGAGTGCTATACGCTGTTCGGTTATAATCGGTGTCTTGATAATCATCCACACTCATGGATGAACGTATTTTCTGAAGAATCCTTGGTGTGGACAACCTTGATCGTTTCTTTGTCCGCGAAGCGGGTGTTTTATGGACTTCCAGCACTTCCAGGTCTCTTGCCACTTCTTCAATAGGGGTTACCGATGCTGAATCCGCTTCGTTTTCTCCATTTGTATTGTGAGGAGCAGTTTCGTCGTTTGAATCGACAACATCCACTTTAGGTTCGGGTGTGGGGCTCTTCTTCCGTTTTGCTCTACTAGGAGTTCCCGATGCCTTCATCGATTGGATCAGTTTTCCCTTTTTGCTCGAATCACTGTCCTAAACAGATATGTTTGAAATAAAGAAGGGATCAATCCGTCAAGTAACTAGGGTTTAAAAAAGTGGAGGTGCTCTACAAAACTGGACAGAACATTTCCAGTAGAATGCCGATTTAGCATACGTGGGTCACCCAGTGTCTCACCTTTTAGGAGGTAGGAACGTGTCGCTCAACATCTTAATGACGCGGTTTGAGACATCGCCGAAACATATATAACAGGGACTTCTAACACGTAGAGGAGGGGACATTTGAATGACTCCTTAAACGGACCTAAGCTACGCCTGCGCTTTTGAGAAACCAGTTGCTACTACAATAGTTGGAAATGCGAAAGAAATCAAGAGCACGTTCCTACTTCACGAGCTCATCGCTCGAGCTCTAATAGGCGATGGACCGCCGCAAAGGCTGAGTTTCACTGCGCCGCGATCAGACACTGCATCAAAGGGATCGCGAAGTATGAACGCGCTCTAATACAGGTAGCTACATAGTCACTCAGGCGTAAGGAGCTCTCTGGAAAGCAACTGTTTCTTCAACTGTCACGGGAAAACAGTACACAAAATGATGAAGGAATTCATATGGAATAAGTATGAAATAAGGTAGTAATAGAAAACTCGCCTTCACTAGATACTGCTTGATTGACTTCCTTTTAGCCCTCTCTATTGATTTCTCCAGCCGTTTCTGTTCATCTTCACGTTTGTCGTTATCGTCACTCGAAACCTGATGGAGTAGTTTTCGTCTGGTTGATTAGTTGGAACAAAAGACACTCATTAGGTTGGACTAAAAGTCCTGCGATAATGGGATATAGGATTGATAATTCTAGCGCTGTTCGACTTGGAGAGGAGGAGGGAGGGGGGGGGCATTTCGCACAGCAGCTTGCTCTCTTTGCTAATTCATATTAACTAGCAGGTCCCATACCTGTAAAACTTGTGGGCTGCGCAATGGTACAAATAAGCCAGTTCTGTTACAAAAACTTGCAAGGGTTTACAAGCTTTAAGAAACTTTGCTTAGTAGTATTTGGTACCTCCACCTAGCCTAACCGCGATCAAATTCTTTTTTCCAAAGGCATGCACGGAGTACTTATATGCTCTCCTGTTAAGAACAACAAGAACAATCCACACTAATAATGAGCAAAATGTTTGAGTAAAATTGAATTTTTAGAACACTTATGGATAGTTCGAGGTGTCGCAGGACTTTCCGTCCAGTCTAGTACTGTGAATTCGAAACAAACCTCAGTTACAACCGACGCGACTTTTCTGGCTTTAGGAGACTCTTGTGGATCAATTGCTATTTCTACAAACAAATATGCAGTCAAAGATGAAGCATGCTGAACAAATGTAAACCTACTTTTCTTGACGACTTCTACTTTCTTTTTAGAAGGCGGTGCCTTATGTACGGGCTTCCATCGCCCACCGCTAGGTGGGGCTGAGAGAAACGACGTGAGTGAAGTTTGCTTGGCAGAGGCCTTCTGAAAAGATCTGACTGAACAAATCTGACCATAACCACACGGATCATAGAAATCGAACCACAAGGGCAGGCAGCAAAAATCTTCTTATTCAGCGTTTATCTCATTCTGTAGCGTGACTTCTTATGGCTCTGTGAGGTCATTTCTTCCGACTGAAGGCTTGTTTGGGACTAGCACCATCAACTTCAATACCGCATGTGGCATGCCAGGCTAGCGCTACTTGAGACAACCTTTAGGCGGCTTCCGATCACTTCCAGCTCCGAACAACCTTCGTGGGAATACATGATCGTACCGTCGAAGGCGAGCTTTTGTCAGCTACGCAGCGTTCGATTGCGCGATGGCAGCGCTTCAGTCGCGCGTTCGACGCGATCGATGCGCATGTTTTCGACTGAAGCGCTGCCGTCGCAAAGCCTGAACGCTGCCTTACGGAAACTACACAGAATCTGTCGCTTATCAGGTCCAGTGCAACATTTTCGCCTACACCATCCTAACGTGGGCATCAGCACGTTTGGTGCTGTGCCAGTACTTGGCATCGTATTAGAGCGACACTGAAGAGCCTACAGATTTTCGCTGTGAGACGCCCTGATATCCCCTTCTAAACGTAGAAGCCAGAAGTACTGTCTCCAAACAGAGTGAATGGAAATTATAAAACTGGGACAGGGTGCAAACAGTGTTGAGCGGGGGCCATGTAGTAACAACCCTAGATACCTTTCCTCTACCTAGGCTTAAGGACAATTCTCGCGATCAAGTATTACGGCTAGTGGGGGCACTATTGAACTATTCCTACCCCAAAAAACTCAAAAAATTTTTTTCGCTGAAACGTTGCCTATAGATGTAATTCGATGCGCTGATCACGAATATCACATCCGTTTCAAGCGCTGGCGCCATTAGCGCCAATTGGCGCGTAATGGCGCCAAATGGCGCCAGCGCCAAAAATAAATGTTGGATTCGTAATCAGGACCTCAATTAACCCCCGCAAGTTTTCATCAACTTTGGTGAAAAAAGTGGTGGGCGCCAAATTGGCGCATAATGGCGCCAAATGACGCCAGCGCTTGAAACGGATGTGATATTCGTGATCAGCGCATCGAATTACATCTATAGGCAACGTTTCAGCGATAAAATTTTTTTGAGGTTTTGGGGAGGAATAGTTCAATAGTGCCCTAGTGGGTATTCAGTCATGGATCAGAAACCGATAACTAGCCAGTGGAAAAGGAAGCAAAAAAGAAACTCTGTTCGTGAAACATGCAGAAATGAAAATGAACCTTCTTCCTTGATAAAAGACTTCTTTCCTTCGTCTTCATCTGGAGACTCTTCTATTTCCATGTGACGGTGTCCAGTACGTCGTGTCAGTGTTTTTTTCCTTCTTAATCCTCGGCACCTCCTTACCAGCTGAAGCCAGTTCCAAGTCGATTCGAGGTATGACTGGTTCGGACAGCTCTTCGTCATCTTCACTCATACTGAAACTCTTTCAAAAAACCTGGATTTCTGAGCCGTGAACACTTACATTTGCAAACTTTGATTTAAATAGTCTTCACTCTCAGAAAACCGTTCTAACTAGGGAAGGTCGTCAGGTCGAAGTGGCCATTTGTGATGAGATGTAGATCACTAGACGTGGTTTTGGACGCTGATCTTGAATCTGCCTTCAAAATTTGCAAAGCGATTCTCTGAACGGAGTTATGGAGCCGCGTTTACCACGCAACAGGTCATGGGATCGGATCCCTGCTGAGCTTAACTTTTTTGCTTGTTGCGCAAACGTGGCAAAAAGTGATTTTGCCGTCACTACTACTTCAGTTCTGAGCTTGTCTGAAGAAAAGTTTGCCTCCATTTATTACTGCGCTTGGACTCCTTGTAGAAGCACTGTAGTGCACTGTAGTCTACAAGGAGTCCAAGCGCAGTAATAAATGGAGGCAAACTTTTCTTCAGACAAGCTCAGGTGAGAACTGAAAGTAGTAGTGATGGCAAAATCACTTTTTGCGCCACGGTCCGCGCAACAAGCAAAAAAGTTAAGCTCAGCAGGGATCCGATCCCATGACCTGTTGCGTGGTAAACGCGGCTCCATAACTCCGTTCAGAGAATCGCTTTGCAAATTTTGAAGGCAGATTCAAGATCAGCGTCCAAAACCACGTCTAGTGATCTACATCTCATCACAAATGGCCACTTCGACCTCTGACGACCCTTCCGTTGTAAGTCCATTCCAAAAATACCTTCGAAGCTTGCAAGAGCTCGAACTGTAACCTGACCCATTCAAAGAATACTTTGAGCAAAAAAGGTATTACCCTAATTAAAATGAATTAGTGTATTTGCAGGTGCTCTTTTGCCCTATAGGCTCGGGTAAAAGTCTTGCCCTCGTTGCGAGAACTCTAGATTTGCGCAAACATCCTACTCTATCTAATCCGCTAAGTATGTCTGTAAGTGTGTGTGTGTGTGATGTGTGTGTGTGTGTGTAGCTGTGTGTGTGCTTTGCGGGTGGTCTCTGTTTTGTGTGTCACGGAAATTCACTAGGGCCGGTCCAGACAGTGAGACGCTGATTTCAACGAAGTGATGTAGGTGGTGTGACGGGAACACAATTGGTGGGTGACAGGAAGTGATATCAGCTGATAAGATACGATAAGAGGCGTTAGAAGGGGGAGGTCACCATATTCATAACGCGGGTGACAGCAGCAGTGGGACGTTGGTTCCGAGCAGTGAAATAGGGGGTGGGACGAAAACATTATTGGTAGGTGACAGGATGTGATATCAGCTGATAAGATCTGATAATGGGCATTAGAAGGGAAGGACTACCAAATTCACAGTGCGGCTCACAGGAACAGTGGATCCTTGGATCCGAGAGGCTGACATACAGGGTGTGGGCCGGGACAATCTAGTCAGGGCGACCCAGAAATACGATTAAGCGGCTTCGGAAGGGAAAGGGTCATCAAATTCGTAACGCAGGTTACAGCAACAGTGGGACCTCGGATCCGAGAGGCGATACAGGGTGATATGATAGTGATACGGGACGGGAGTGTTATTGGTGGGTACGGAAGGAATAGGAGCTAAAAGCGATTCGATATGACTGAAGCCATAACGATCTCGATGGATTCTAAAGAACCCTCATTCCACTGCTTGATTAGTAACGATCAATCATGGTGCGACCAACTGAGCTAGCTCTACCTATTCCAAATGCATGAGGTTGTTTTTACAGAGATGTTATGAACGAACATCAATCTCACATTATGCACGCTTACCTCGCAATTACTTCCATCACAACAGCCCCGGCCACCGCCCACCCAACCCCCCCCCTAGTGAGGCCATTTAACCGCGTTCCACTGCTGGATGCCAGGAGTGCATTCCAAAGCAAGACGCTTTAAGCGCGGAACGCAACATCAACACACACTCCACCATAAAGGCTGCTTCAACAGCTAACCTAACAGCTCATTATTCCGCCTTGTAGATTATGAACGTACCAAGTCGGGATCGCTGGCTAAAGGCTGGCCTCCCCTCCTTCTGTGATGCGGGGGCGCTGCTGCTTCTGCGTCTTGACGGAACGAGCGCTGCTTTTCAGTTGTTGGCTGATGCAGGAGATTCCTTTGAACAGTGTGGTTGGTCAACGATCCGTAACTTAGCACGTGGCAAATCCGCATCGGCCCGGGCCCGAAGCTGGGGAGCGCCCGGCGACAGCTGGGCGATCCGACTGGTTTGTTTATAACCCCTCAAGAAAACAGCAAAGTTCGCCTAGACAAATGAACTCAGAGCTTTATCAGCAACCATGAATCACACTCGTTTGAATCTGGGAGCCTAAGCCAAAGCATAAGCCCCTACTGGAGACCAGTCTGGATCTCGTGACGATCACCCCTGGGCGAGCTCTTGGTTCGCCCTGCGCTCCTAACGCCCAGGCCTCGGTCGGAGGAAGGGCACAGACGCGGTCAGGCTCTTCTCCCCCCTCTCCCCCAGCTGCGTTAGCGCTGAATAAGCTGGGAAAATTCAGCCGAACAGATTGCTCTCTAGATCAAAACGAAGTGAACAAAATCACAAAAAATCGTCGACCTTATCCTGACCATTGAAAATTGAACTGGATGCCTTTCGACTCGTCAACTCGAAACTTTGAAGAAATTCAGATACTTTAGAATTTTATCGCGAATAAGGTTTCTAATAGCTAGGGAAATCCAACCGACAAGAGGAGAAAACGACCGGGAAATTTTGGAGAATTTCGAGAAGACGATACCAAGAGAAGCAGCAAAAGAGAGAAGGATAAAAGTGAGTGCTTGAGGTTGATAAAGTACCAAGCACCGCGGTAAATACGTAAAGAAAATAAGTTGAACAAAGAATACACTGTTGGTAACTTGTCAGGAGCATGCCTCATTGTTTTTCTATGCATTGTAACTTCAAACCTGTAATCGGCGCTCGCGCAGTTAACACGAGACAATTAAGCTCGAATGCACGCGCGAAAACGAACACTCAGCTTTTACGTGGCCTCAGGGCACACGTTGTTGGGGAATCCCCAATAGGAGGTCGTATATGATCGCCAGGAGGGGCGTGTCGTATTTGGGAGGGAAAAATTTATTTTGATAGTTGATTTTTCTCGCTTCATGGACGTTGTAAAGGGGGAGGGGTCGTACTTGGTCATTTTGTTGGGAGGAGTCGTATTTACGTTTTGGCGTTTTAGGAGTAGGCTGGGTTTGACCTTCGTGATTTTTATCGTGTCATGCTCAGAGCATGCAAAATTCCTTTGGGGAAAAGTATTGAACCTTTTTGGAACTTTGGGACAGTTTTTGGAAGAAAGGGAGTGGCAAGTAGTTGGGGAAAATCTGAAAATTGGTAGAGGGGGGTCGTATCACCTCGCGACTTTTCCTGTTTCACATGTGCCAACTCCCAAAAAAAAGGGGGGGGGATGTCGTACAGACTCGACTAAAATCCCCAACCAATGATGTGCCTTGATCTGGCTTCATTAATTCTCCTAGAACAGCATGCCATTAGAAACAAGTTTTCAAATAAGGGCACGTCTTGTCGTTGGTAACTTTACAGGAAGTCACAGGATACAGTCCCCTCGAACTTTCGCCTCATCTGATGTCCCCCCCCCGCTCCCCCATACTTAAACCTACCTACCTACCATCTTAGATTTTACTGCAAATTCCCACCACTTTTCCGTTCCCAATTCCTTTCTATGAAATTTCCTTCACTTTCCTCCTCGAAAATCGCCATCGAACAGCGGAGAAAAAGTCAAGCGATCGAAAGTTTTAACTGGGACGGAAACTAACGACTCACTGCTGTCAAGCCGGTCAAATACGATCCCCCTCGCCGGAAATCCCCAACGTACGACGTGCCCTTATCCTAAAAGTGATGATCTAATGAGTTTTTGCGCGCCGGGTACAGAGCCATCACTGGTTGGAGATTTATGTTGATTCTGTTACGACCCCCGCACCCCCCCCAACCCTCCCCCGCCCTTGCGCTCTCATCGGGCGGTCGCGTCAGAGCGGGTGGGGGGGGGGAATGTGATAACATTATGAAATCAGAGAAAAAAAACCAGGAAAAGTCAACAAGTGAACAAGCTCCTCAGGAAGGGCGGACGGCAAATACGACCCCCCCTCCTCCCAGCGACCAAATCGATCCCTCTCTTGGGGAATCCCCACGATGATGTGCCTTGGATGGGTAAGATATGAACCACTGGAACACGACCTTGCTGGAGAATCGTGGAAATCGAAGAATAGTTCGATGGATTTTCGGAAGGATCTCAATCCATAACACAGGGCAACAAGAGACGTGACTGCGGAAGAGGCGAGGGTTCAGAAGAAAGAGAGGCAGAGATAACGCGGGACACCCATTGTGCGCAACCGGTGTGAACCGTAAATACGAATCGATTTCTTCCACTTTCTACATACCATTAGGTTTGGATGAGCGAAGCGATGGGAGGAGGGGGAGGGGACAACATATAGGCTCATTTGAAACGGGCAAACCGAGAAAAGTGAACAATCGAAAACCCTTCTCAAAGTCAGCTGAATACGGTCCCCTCTCTGCAGTAACCTTACCTGAACTAGAAACCTTGCATTCGAGCCCTACCTAATTTGTTTTTCAAAACCTGAAAAATGCTGGCACAATACGACCACGATGCCGGAAACTCAATTTCATGACGCTTTATTGCGTCCGAACTCTGTTTTGCCGGGCTTTGACAGCCTGCTTTCTTTTCTCGTCTCGAGCCTTTGTAGGCTTCCTGAAGATCCTTGTTTTTTATGATTTTGAATTTTTGAAGTCGAATCAAGGAGGTGAAATGGATATTTTCGGAATCGTAGGAATGTCGATGGTTCCTCCTGTTCCTATTTATTATCTTCTTCTCATTTACTGTTCCTAATCAAACATTGTGAATCATTTAGGAGAGTGGAGGAAGCTGGTTTGAACGTAGCTGGGGAAAGGGAGGGGCGAGGTGGACTTGGCAGCGTCATTACATCCTTCTCCCAATCAAGGGTTGAGCATGGTGGTCATTCCGTGCGACACTACTCTTCGGTAACTCTCTTCGTCTGTGCTCTGAGCGTAAGCCGTTTGGCAGCGTTTAGACTTCGGGACGACAGCGTTTCGGCCGCGCGTTCGACGCGATCAATGAGCATCATTTCGACTGCATAGATCGCGTCGAGCGCGCGGCCGAGGCGCTACCGTCGCGAAGTCCGAATGCTACCTTTCGGAGAAAGGATACTGAGGCGCGGTTGAGTGGTAGCGGGTAGGCTTCCCACCATCCCCGCGCCACCACGCCCCTCCCCCCCCCCCAGCTATGTTGCCAATTGGAGCGTAGCAAGTAGCGTTTTTTTCAAATAGCTCACTTAAGGCCTGAGCTCAAGCCGTTTTGAGACGTTGATCATTTTTTTTTTTTGGGATTTCTCAAGCATCCAGTTCACTTAGAATCGCAGTCGGTATATTGATGTGGCAATGACCGCCAGCCTGAGGCATCAGTAACATTGAGCATCAGTACACGTTTTACCCTCCCCTACGAATCTGCCACCAATAAACAGTGGTATGAAAGGCTCTTTAGAACGGGCGGACTGTGCGCGTAAAATGCGGTGCCGCCGCTCAGCACACCACCTCAACGCAATGGCTAACGCAGAAAACGCTGAAATTCTCTTCAGCAGCTCCAAGACCTTCACATGGTCATCCTGATTGTTTTCTATTTATTTATTTCACAAGTGGAACTGTAGTGAAGGAACTGAAGCTGTTACGGGCGCGTAGGAACCCTCCATCACGCAGATATTCCCCTACTTTCAGTGTAAGATTAATCTGACATCAGAAGTTTAGGTGAACGCGGTGAAGTGGCAAATGGCGCCACGGTCCGGTAGTCAAACCTGTGACTAATTTCCGCCCAGTTAAATCGAACAGTCCATTTCTCCTTGTTATTTGGTTTTACTCGAGGGAATGGAAATGTAGAGTGCGTCATTCATTGTGAAGGCTAAATCATGTTCAAAAAGTCATCATGATTCTGAATCTAGGTGGAATGCATGATAAATCCCACACACAAGTTGGTCTCAGCGCGAGAAAAAAAAACTGAGTAAAAGCCTCAGGTGGAGCACGTGCTCGATGTCATTTATGTATATGAATAGCTTCCGTTGTTGTTGCACAGGCTGATTATTCCTTGTGCCTATTTCAAGAGAAATGAAATTTCCTAGTTTTTCAGATGGCAAAGGTGATATTGTAAAGGCGGCATGCTTATCACACGCACGGTCCGGGAATCCCGGATCGGCTTCCCGCACAGGCTAACCAAACCCTATATCCTCCGGCACGACAAACTGGTACCAGATTCGTCCGCGAAGATAAGAACACCGAATTGTACGTCAGCTGGTCTCGGCAAGTCATCGCATAGGCCACATCGCATGCAGTGAGCCCCAACGTTTCCGAATGGAACTGGAATGCGTGCTGCACATTACAAAAAGGGATTGATTAACGGCGAAGACTTTTTAGCGGAGACTTTTTAGACTTTATTTCCCATCTAATTGGCTACGTTCACTTGTTAAAGAATTTTCCATTTGCCGAAGATTCACCGAGAAGCCGGGCAATTTTGCCATGAAAGCGCTTAGGCCAAGATGTACAGAGCCTACAATTTAGTGATTACAGTTGCGATTTGGCGTAGGGAAGACAAGCTATCGTCAGATATCGGCTTAAATTATTGGCTTCGTTCAGCGGGTCGCTTATGACTATTAAACCTACGGACCAGTCTTAGTTCTTGATTAGGCCTTCAAAGGGACTTGGACTCTATCGTCCTACGGCTCGAGCTAAGGCTATATTGTAAGTGCCAGCTTTTTACGAGTCATATGACGCAAGCGCATTCAAACTGGCACAACATAGTGAAACTGGTATAACTACCCCATCCAGATGAAAAAATAATGGCTCTGTTTGCACGTTCTGCCTTTCTCGGTGACCTTGAAACGAATTCGTTGCGGCCCGTGGAAAAACTAACATGGGAACTTCGATGGGTCTAATTAATAGCCGAAGATGGTGAAATAATTCGGTGGCAAACGAGGAGGAACGTGGATAAACATTTTGAATGCGACAAGATTGCAGCCCGAGGCTACCAAGCTGTTTTTGCCTTTGCCGGCTTGTGTGTAGCTCTTCCTCGGCCGGTCCTGAAGATGTTTTGAAGGGACTACTGAACTGTGGGGAATCATAATAGCCAGTCTAGATTATCGAGCTAGAAGTGTATGGGAATACACGGCCCTTTCAGGACTTCTTCTAGCGGTTCTTGTAGTAATTTAGTTCTGATTTGATTTCATCTAGTATCGTGATGCTTATAATATTGCCATAAAAGCTCTTCGTAAATTATAATGTTTCCCCCCGGTCCGAAACGATAATGTTTCCATCCCTTTCACTGAGATTTTACGAGGGAGAGGGTTGATCGAAAGAAGATCGCTCATTCGTTAGTTCCATCCACACGTCCTGAGCGCTGAACAGAGAAATTTGTTAGTATTCCAGCAGTAAAGGAATTGAGGATAACGCATCTTAGCACATGATAATTCAACTATTTTATATTTATTAAACGTTCTCACTATCTATAATCTTCTTCTGGAAATACGTCAAGAATCTTGCCAGGTTTTGTGACAGACAAGAACAGGCGAGGTCAGGATAAGGACTCTTAGGTACTTACCACAGGATACATGTATCAACATGACTTTTATGCCCCTCTTAAGAGGTGTAATGAACAAGTTAAGCACGATAACACGTGCGCGCGATCCGAAGTTCAACACACGCTGGGCTCTGCCTGGTCAACTAAAGGTCCCTTCTTCCTCCGAATGAGGGTGAATGTGATAAACCTCGGCTACAAAATTAGTTTGTTGTGCTTGATTATCTGGGAGGATGAGATTTTTTGGCTTGTACATCGGCTGACCCCGGCAGGTCATTGTATAGGTCACATAGCATTCAAATAGCCACTACGATTCTGAATGGAAGTGGAATGCATGCCGCATCCCACAGACGGATTGATTAACAGCGTGACTATTCTTTATCCTCTACAGCGCCACATTAGGCGATTCAAATTTTTGTATTTTCCGCTCAAGTGCTTTTAATTTTTGTAGACTTGAATAATCCAATGTCTCAGATTTACGGTATGTCACTTCTCTTGGGTAGCCTAGCAATAACAGTTTATTGCTACCATTAATGTCATATTAGTACCTTGCTCAATAAATTATCGCGTTACGAATTATCGTAAATACAAGTTGTGCAATCACTCCGTTAACTGTTCCTTGCATTTTGAGTGAATGGTTGTCGCATGCCACTTTTCCATTCAGAAAGTGTACAGGAAGTCTGCTGGAAGGTAGAGTACCTGAGCGCTTTCCCACTTCGTCTGCGCGACGCAGCGCGTCAGCCACACTCCTAACCATAGCCAAAGGCGCAGGGTAAAAACAGGTGACGCTGTCAAGAACCTGCAAAATGATCTCTGCTCCGCGTCGCGATGGAATAGTAGACGGCTGACACAGAGCCTTTATCAGTATCCCTGACGTCATGGCTATCATCCCTTGTTCCCGCTACTGTTAGTTAGTTGTTCGCTGCGGTTGTTGGGGAAGTCAGGAGAGCTGGCTTAAGCGCGGCGCCATTCCTTTTTTCACCAATCGCTGCCGCTTGGCCGTTCGACCAGTGAGAATT